AGCCCCCAAGATCCGGAACCAAGATTGCCCCCCAAGACTTTCTGGGGGATCTTGGTTCTTGGTTCCCAGGCTCTGAAAAATTGAGAAATTAATTTTTCAATTTTTCGGAGCCCCAGTAACCTCACTTTTTGTATTCGATATTCAAAGCTACCAGGAAACGAGCATGCAAAACAAAACTATATAGGCGAACATTGTGGGAACCTATAGGTAATTACGGAATAATCAAACAGTAGCCATATAAGTTCCCCAAGCCATACAACAAACAGGTTCCCACAGCGTCCTCTTCTGTAAGGTTTAGGGTTTATAAGAGTTAGGGGTTAGGTTGCGCCTCTGGAATACCTGGAGTGATGCTGGCAGCGGCTTACCAGGCCGTGCTCGAATAAAGGTTAGGCTGCTAGGGCTTAGGGCTTTCACGCCAAAAGCGGTCTAAGGTTTTAAACCCCTAAACCCTGAGCGTTGGGTCAGACTTTTTGGCTTGGGGGACCTGACAAGGTATGGGTGTTTTTATGGATGACCTTGTTTTGCAAGCAGCAAAAGCAGGCATTTCATATGGTATGTGGGCTTCAAAGGGAAAGTGTTACACAGTGACTAATCATGATAGCATTAACAGGGGTAATAGTAACAGCAATAGTAAGAGTAAGAGCAAGAGTAAGGTCCTACGGTGACAGGACTGCAACTCATAAGCTTGTGCACTCCTGGAAATTCCCGATGCTGTTTTAGGGAAATGTTGTTTTTCAGGGTTTCACCATCGCGTTGCCTTGTTTTTGGCATGTCAAAAATCTACAGGGTCTAGAGATTTGGACGGACTCTGTTTTGAAAGATTCATAGATCCCTCTCTAGAAGTCATTTAGGAGTGCCGTCAATGTCTTGGCAGAAAATATCACGAAGGACGAGAGGCCGCCGAACTACTACACCTTCTTCGGCGAGTAGAGGCGCAGAGAAGGGAGGGCAACAGGTTCTCGTGTAGACTCTCCCCAAAGTGAACATGGAAGCCCAAAATGGAGCCCTCCAAAGACCACTGCCCTTGTCATAGAAGGCTGACGTAATATAGACCCTATATAACCCGTTATGGTAGTTTCCATTTTCTTTTCCATTATTCTTATTTAGCCCTAATAGGGTAGTTCCATGTTCAACTAAGTTACAGGTTCACTTCTACACCTTGGTTCTGGCGCCGCACTGCATGTGCCACCTCAGTGGTAGCTGCTTACTGCTCCTAATATATCCCCTGTATAACGCATCCATTTATAATGATAGTTTCCATTTTATTTCAAATTTCCATTATCCCATACAACCCCCACACTATCAACATACTACCGCGATCTTAGGATTGTACTTGGGTCCCGAAGATTCAGAGGCCGGCGTTGAGAATCTTTGTGCTAGCACTGGTTGTTTCACTACTGCGCTTTTGGTGACAGACATCGGTTCTTAGGCTACACCTAGGTTACTGGAGTTGAGTTCCGCTCAATACAGCGCTGCATATGGGACCATGCCAGCTTCTTCGCGAGAACATGTAATTCAGCTAAGCCTTTAAAGCAAGCAGAGGCTGGCCCCAGACCTCACAACATCTACCCCTCCCTACGCTGTTACACCATTTCTCAACTAGCCTGATAAACAACTTGTCCAACCATCCGAAACACAAACCACCACCCAAATGTCATGACACGATTCCATCATTGGCCGTGGCCCTATCAGTTCTATCCCAAATTGTAGCTCCCCCAAAAGCAGACAACAATCCAAAACACAATACCGAACCAAAAGCACATGTACACAATGCAGACCTTCATTCGCTGGAGAACCATTAATCCAATAGTCACAAATGGATCTAATTTTCCACCATAGCAGGAAAGCTAGTTGTCCCCCCAGGTAGCTTATGCGACCCTCAGCTGCAACTTTGTTTCTGCGTGGTCGCCATCCGCTTGACGACGATGACCCGAGCCGCGCTGCCGGCCTGATTTTTCTTGCATGTGCCCCTCTAAGGTATCGTAACGTCAAAAATTACAATTATGGCCGTATGGCTGTGTTAGCATGTTTGGCGGACGAGCTAACTGCACATGCCTCGTAATCATATCCTCCCAAAGTTGGACAAGATAGTGGGTGGAGCTTTTTGCCAACACTCAGCGCTGCGTTAAGCATTGCGGCGCAGAAGCATGATGGAGTCGTACCAGCCGCAGCCCAGCGCCATGTCCGAGTTCAGCACGCAGCTGGAAAAAACGGAAGCAGCGACTCTTTCTCTTCGCAAAGAAGTCCAGTCTTTGGGGCAGCGCCTCAAAGGAACTCCGGACAGTGAGCTGCAGCAAAAGCTCGAGTACCTACAAGGTGCCGTGTCCAGTAGCCAAGCCATGAACCGGGCCCTGTTCCTCAAGCATGCTGGCATCAGAGAAGAGTACACAGATCTCGTTGCCTTCCCGGTAGCGGATGGAGCCACCAGGTTGTACGAGTTGAATGAGATCTACGGCAAGATGACTCAGCTGCTATCTCTTGTTGAGGGGAACATCTACAAGATCCTGGGAACCCCAACCAATTTCTTTGCAACACAAGTTGCTGCATTTCAGTCCTGGCTGCAGACATCTCCTTTCAAAGCCTGCATGGCTATGCTCGGCGCCGGAGCTGTCAGCGGAGCTTGTGTAGCTGGCATCTTGGCACTAATCGCTGATGTGGGCTGCAAGTGCACGGCGTGGACTGTGCTAGGCCATGCCCTGGCCGGTGCTGGGGTAGGCGCTTGCATTGGTGCTGGTGGAGCCTTGGTTGGACTTATCATCTTTGCAGGATACGAATGCTGCTACCGGAAGAAGGATATGAAATCCGACACAGCAAGAGTTGCAGAGATGGTTGACGCGCTGAACACCATCCCCGACAGCCAGTACATCAAGCACCTGGACGACCTCATTGCAGATTGCTGCATTGTAGCTAACCAGCTTCCTGCGCATGAAGATCGCAAGTGCCTGTTCTGCCACGAAGAAGGTGACAAAGTCATTGAGCCAGTCCGATCACGTGGCTGCCAAGGACACCATTACATGTGCAAGATGTGCTGGAAGGAGTACCTCAAAACTCCCCGTGGGAGATTTGGCAAGTGCTCTGTGTGTGATTTGTAGATGTCCTACATTTTCCAGGACAGGAGTAGCCCGACATTCTTTAAACCCGAGCTGGCACCCCTGTGCAGTAGGAAGAGGCCGCTCTCAATTTTGACATCAACCCGCGCAAGACGCAAGACTTGCTTTGACAGCTGTCGAGGGAAAAGAGCGGTTCGTGCAAGGAGACACCTTTCAGCGCAGAGGATGGCAGAATGCGCCTGTCCTCAACGGAAAGTGGTGCTTTAGTTGTCAAAGGCAGATTAGACTGAAACCTCTTTGCAGGTTGACGCCTGGAGGACCTCGGACCTCAGGCCTTTCACGAGCTTGGAAGGCCAACTTCTTCACACGTCTCACCGAACAAGGAACAAAGAGTTGCCTTGCGTCAGAAGAGGCTTCTTTGATCCCCAGATTGGCTGACATTCTATAGATCTTCGGTCCATTTCTTGGCTGCAGACTCCATATGAGATGCGCATATGCTTGGCAGCGTTGTTGCCTGCCATCTTGTCGTTGCGCCTGCAAGACCTTGAGCCAAGCGTACCTTCCACAAACCTAAGTTGAGCATCCGTCCTTCCATGCACCAAAACAGCAATATAATCATGGTTAGGCTTAGTTAGTGTTCAGCAACAGACTACACCACATCATGCAGTGACCCAGTGCCTAGCAAGATACTCACATCCCACGAAAAACTATGCATGTGGGAGACGTGTAGTGCGGTATCTCTTTCGTGAACTTAGCATACCATTGGCTTTGTTCCCTGCTTGTTAAATTTTAAAACATTTACCAGAACAAAGCACAAAGCATTCAGACACATTTGCCGCCTTGCCATTGCGATGGCCAATGCCAGCCCTGGCAATTCCTTTTACGACGAGATATGGGAAACGAGAGAGGACTTTGCTGGCTGCATTGGTAGTTTGTTGAAGTTGCGGCGTCTAATTTGGCTTAGTTTGTTTTGTGCCTCTATCAGCCATTATCCCCTGCTCAAATTCTTTCTGGAAATCCTCAGTTGCATTGGAAAGCACGACAGTCCCCCCAACAAATACGACGAGCAGCACAATGATGACATTTCCAACATTCCCAAGGTCCAGGGTGTAACGTTCAGCGCCTTCACACCGACCCTTCTGTGGTAAGTTGTAAGCGCAATGCCCATTGTCACGGACTTCCTGCGAGTGGTGCCAACCCCCTTGCTACAAAATCAGCAGTTGACATGGCGCCAAGCGTTTCAAGACTTTTTGGAATCAGGTTGCGCAAAAGCTCGGAATGAAAAGCCCACCCCTCCAAGTATTTCAACAAATCCTTCTGCATCCCCCCAATCCCATGCTGCAGGAGGAAGCAAGCGAAGTGATTGACGGATTCTCGCTTCAATGCATTTGATCAGTTGCGTTGTTAAGGACGATATGGTCCAGTAAAAGGAGTAAGATGCAGATCTTGCCCACATCCGTGAATCCCTCTGCAACATCAAAAAAACACCAAACCCACACGTTCGCAGGGGTTCTAGAAGAACTACTGCCATCAAATGCAAGGGCTCATACTGCCGATGCGCCGTTGCAAAACCGTGATGCATAGCAACATGGATGACGCCTTTTGCGTCTGTGTTGGGGTCTGAACACACGAGCCTGCATTTTCAAGATGGGGGTTATTAGGGATACCTTCTTGAGGGTCCCAATAATAAATAGGGACTATAGTATATGGGGTCTATATTGGGGTACCTTATCTTGGGAAACTACCATATCTAGAATCAAGTAGGAATCCTTATGTGCAAGTCCGCGGTCGGCACTTCTGCAGGGGAATGTCGCCAAATGACCCTCATAAGAAGAATGGCTGGGATGTTATCTGGGCTCATGTAGCCTAGTAGACTACGAAGAAGTTGCGGATTCAGGACGACGTACTGTAGATGGCCCTGCCCCCCTTTTTTTTGCTCGATGATTCAGATGCCAAGCAAGGTATATACCTGGGATCCGTCCTGGCATCCAAGGATGCGAAGGCTTTGGACAGGTGGAGTATCACGCAGCCTGGTTAAAGACCTTCACCCTGGAGGAGAGACTGTAACTCCATGGGAGTTTATCAAAATAAACCTTTTAGATCCTTGTAGAAACCATAGCTCCCTTGCTATCCCCGTGTATATAATTCCTACAGTCCCTGGGGCGCCCCCTTACTTTGAGAACCCCTTCTCGATTCCTGAATGTTGGATTTGCTTTCATTTTCCCTATGCCGGCAATTCCTTCATCATGCAAAGTTGCCGGCCTGCTGAATTTCACTAATATAACACCTATATAACCATATTACAATGTAGTAGTTTCCATTTCATTTTCCATTATCCCAATATAACCCCAATATAAACCCTATAATCCCTATATGATCCCAAATTAACCCCTATATAATACAGTAGTTTCTATTTTCTTTTCCACTATCCCTATATAACCCCAATACACTATAATCGAAGGTGGAACCATCCCACAGGCCCGCTGTACTTGTCGTTCTTGCCGCGGCGTGTGGGCTCAACAACAAGGCTTAAGCGCGGAGATTTGGGCACTCCCACGACAGACAAGGCAGCAGCGCCAGCTCCCACCACGAAGTAGAGAAGTAGCTCATCCAACCCAAAGATATTGTGAGGACAGTTGAGCTCATACGTTGGGGATAGCTCAAAATATAGGCTGCAACTTCCAACTCTGGTGAACAAGCACGCAATTCTCAATGTTACAGAAAGGAACTAGACCCCAACAACTGCCAAAGAATAAGACAACCCGAAAGCCGTGAATCCCCAAGCAGAAGCCTATCATGTCTGGATCCTTCAACCTGGCGCAACAGTTGAAAAGCTTAACAACCTCCTGATTCCTAAGCCCCTACATCGCCCAAACCCTAATCGTTCCTAAACCCTGAACCGCCTAACACCCCCAAAGCCGTCATGTCGGAGCTGCTGGACGTGTTGGATGACGCAGGCGTCCTGGACCGGGACACACGGCATCCTGGACGCAGCTTTACCATTCATGTAGGAGCTTCTGAAAAAATTTAGGTCCCTTCGTGGCTCCCAAATAACACGTGTAGAGGCGTAGTTGTGGCTGTGGATTAGGTCTCGTCTTATCGGTACTTGGCCGACGAATTTGCCTTTGGGATTGGCCCTAATTTGCAACTTTTCACTTCGGGGAGCTCGTTTGGGGTTCCTTGCTTAAGGAGTCTTGGCGAGTAAAATGAGTAAACGGCTTCAACTTGACAACCTCCAACATTTCTTGGAGTGCAGACATGCCGCACATACATCGAGCCAATCATGCTGTTCCTTTTCAAGCCACTGGTATTTGGGGCCCAGCATCTGCCCTTGGTAATCACCCAATTTCGAGCCTTGGACCCGGGCGTAGCCTAAGGCTCTTCCTGGTGGAGGCCCTGTGCAATGCGGAGGCGCCAGGGCTTCAGGTGGAACGCAGAAGCAACCCGCAGTTTCTGTGGAAAAACGAGTTTGAGAGGAAGAGTAGCGAGGAATGAGAGCGAAATCAAAGAACTGTGGCAGCAAACTTACGTACGTGCATACGTGCATACATGCATACAGACGTACAGGCATACAGACATGCAGACAGGCAGACAGACACACAGACATACATACATGCACACTGTATGCGTGACCAAAAAGTGCCAAGGATCTCCCATAAAAGTTCCCAAAAAACCGCGCATCATCCCTTTACCTTCGCTGGCACTTTCCTGGGGGCCTCTGCGGGTTGCGGAGGCAGATGAGTTCGCAGACATCCTGGAGCCCTTCGCTCCAGGCTGCGTCAGGACTTGTTTGATTCTCCATTATTGGGATAATAAATCCCAAAAAGCCCTACTCTATAACATATTTATAATACCCTGGAATTGCCGAACGAAAGGTGCTTGTCTCAACGCATCTAAACCTAAAGTATTGTGCTGCTTTGGTTAGCACCTGCGGGAATAATCTTGAGTGCGGAGGCTTGAGCTTTTTGAGCTGGTCAGGCAGGTCTAGGTAAGGAGCACACCCCCACCCTGTAAACGTGGAATAATAGTGGGAATACAAGACTGGGCGGGGGGTCCACCTAAGGGCTAGGGTTTGCAAAGACTTGTTCTGTCGCCTGATGCTTGGGAGACCTCGTCGATGTTGACTTTGTGTTCCCAAAGACCCCGAGCCGCGGGTTGCGGTTTTATATCAGAACAATTGAACTTGATTATGCCATAGTCGTTTCCATTTTCTTTTCCACTATCCCAATATTACCCCTACATAATGCAGCGGGCATCACCGCCACCAAAGTTTGGAATGCTGGTCTTTGATTTCAACCGGCTCCATGTCCAACGCATGATTGCATGTCAGCTGAAGGGAGCTGCTTCCCTTCACAAGAGACTTCGCTAGATAGCTAGATCGGAGGGGAAATGCGCTTAAGAATGGTTACTAACAGTGTTCCTCAGAATTACTCGTACACTGATAGTATATATATATATATGTATATATCAGGGTCGACAGCCAAGTGCAGCCCGTTGCAATTCTCTCGGCCGCTGTGCCGTGTGCTTGCTTGGTGCTTCAGAGGCTTTGTGGAGCAGTGCCTGACTGCTTTGAAAGTGCTGCTGGGCTTTGACATTGGAGGGGTTTGGCTTCATAATGGTTCATGCAGGAATCTAAATAGTGGCCAACATTGTTCATCTTCGGAGCCCGCGGTACGGTATTTAACACGCCGCTCCAGATGCCCATTCTGCTTCTCGAAGCTCCTGGAGACATGCGATTGCTTCAAGGTTTTGGCGATGATCCGGTTTTTTGGGCTCGCGTATTAGAAAAGCTTTGGACGAAGTTTGACCATCAGGCTGTTAGGTCAAAGGGTTTTCAGTTTTGGTGTTTGCCAGCTTCCCTGTTTCGCATGTACTTGAATCAGCCATTTTTGAGGCTCCTGTGTTGGGTTCTTGCCAGCTTTCAACCCCGAGAGCCCTGAAGCAAACCTGTCAAAGGCCCACTTCTGAGCCCTGAAAGCCCTGAACCCGCAAAAAGCCAAGGCCTGAGTCCCGAACCCAAAAAGTTCAACCCCACCCCAAAG